TTCATCTCACGTCAAAATGGATATCCATTAAATTTGGTACTGAATTAGGCTTCTTCATTCATTCCAGTGACAACTGCTGCAACAACACTCCCGTTATCCAGTGCGACATCAGCGTCGCCTACAGGTACTGGATTACCTTTAAAATGATTATGGAATATTTGTGTAAAAAGGTTTGTTTATTAGAACCTAATCATGAATACAGACCATAATTTTGTCCTGGTTTTGACGATTAGAATGAAACACGTATCCCCATCCCCCGGTTGTCAAGCTCGAGTTCATCTCTCTACTTTCCAGCGATGTAACTATTTACAAACTTTTTCATTTCAAATCATTCAATTTCCAATATTTCATTTTATTCATTGTTGTTTTATTGTGCGTTTTTCAGTGTCTTCTACTGCAGAAATAAAAACGACTTCACATCCACCAACACCCGTAACGACGACCGAAATTACGTCATTTTCACCGTATACGTCATCATCAAAAGTGACGTCAGAAATAAAAACGACTTCACATCCACCAACACCCGTAACGACGACCGAAATTACGTCATCTTCACCGTATACGTCATCATCAAAAGTGACATCAATTCCAACCAATAACACAGGTACCCATCTTCATCACCATGGCAACATTATGCTATTACTCTACACTCTACTGCCGACTGGGGGGCTTGTGTTAGTTCTAGCTTTAATGATTGGAGTGATGATGGTAAGACGACGAAGGAAAAGGTACGAAAAACAAGATAGTTGCCATGGAAACCTTTTATTTTCACGAAATTCAAAGGAACTGGTAACAACTCCGATATTGACTTTACTTTTTAAAATCAAATATATCGAGCAGACTGCTACCTTGGATTGTACAGACTCTCTCGCTCCAGTGCTTCTCGGTCGTGAGTTTCGTTGTCGAGAGAATCCAGACTTTACCCTAAAGACAGATCAACAGAATCAAAATCTATTAACCAGTATAACAAAGTATTGAAATCAGTGTGTGGTTCAACATCATACTAAAAATGGATTGGAGTCTGGATGAGTCACGTGACCATTCTCCCACCATCTGTTTGTCCTCGTAAACCGCTTACGATCATTCTTCTTATTTTAATTATTCAATAACAGAATCGCATATTCAAGACTAACTTCGCTGTCCATCGATGAAATTGTTCCCGAATCGAACGAGTAAGTAGTTGAGACTGTTTCTGATAGCGAATAAAGTGTTTTTATTATTTCCCATCCATCTWTATAATTATTATYTTCTATCGTAAAGCGCTATCGGATACATCATAAATAGTATGTTATTAGTAGTTCTAATAATGAGAATATTATCATTTATTATTAGTACTTCATGCGCAGTAACCAGCGATAAACAGGTTGATACTGACACCAGCACGCGTCTGAAGCTAATGGACACGACAGAACATACGTCATCTGATTCAGACGATGAAATGATACGTCTAGATAGGTGAGCAATAGGCTAATGATCATAATGAATATTCGGGTGTAATGTTTTCCCATTTCAGACCATCTGTCTTTTCTCTTAAGATTCTTTGTTTGAGTTGCATCCATACTCATGTGTCGTCTCTTGCGTAAATGTTTAAACAAAGAAATCATACTCTAGGTAATGACACGTGGTCTGAATTGGAAAATCATTAGACAGATTAAGAATCTCGTTTTTTCTTGCTACAAGCGGCAAAAACATGACCACGCTTTCATCGTTTTTCTGTATTTCACTTTACCTTTTGCCAACCTTTTCATCAAAGACAAATATTATTTTGTTAACTGCTTACGGTTTTTCCGATTCTTTTTACCTATTTTAAAGAATTTTCATTGGTCAACTGACCTTTTTCACGTTTGCCATTAAATCTTAATCTGCGTCAAATACGGCGGCAGCGGCAACTAATGAATATTCAACCGTGTTCCAAAACGTTTTAATAACATTTATGTTTCCTCTTTTTATCCAGAAATCCTCCAGGTTTCCCAAACACAGAACTGCAAAATGTATCAAAGTACTAATGGATCTTTTCTAAGATGATATTTTCGGGCAAGACTTTTTGCGCAAAAAATTATGTTAATGAAGAATTACTTTGAAATTTCTTTTAGTTCGAAGCAGGAAAATAAGTTTTTGAAAAAAATATAACTCACTGCGTACGAAATGTCTTCTTCAATGGTTTAACAAATACCTTATGTAACTCTATGGTTTTCAAAGGTTTCTCAATTAACACCCCGAGAATGCCTTGTTTTTATGTCTGCGCATACGATATTTCAATTTCGTATCCAGAGCCTATTTATTTTGTCGAGCATGCGCAGTAGGAAATAAAGGCTCTGGGTACGAGAGATTGGGGATATGATAGCGCTCGCGCATCTCGGAAATCGTCTATTACAACTTCCTCTATATAACATGTAACGTACACTTACACTCTGCTTAGACGCCTTGCACGATGATGGAAAATATTGTCAAAACTGAGCTTTTGTAAATAGCTGGAAATCAGTATCTTTATTTTATTCTTATCCAAATAAAAAGCCTTGAAAACTCAGGAATTTATTTGTTACTGTGATATTCTGGTTCGTACTCGATGGCCACCGCAAAATGTCACGCCAACGGCCAACCACACCACCCCCCCCCCCCAACACCACCACCACACAACCTTACCATCACTATTCAGACACACTAAACCACCCTGCATGATATCTTTTAAAAGTCCGTTTTCGGCAGAGCGACGGGACCTTACTAAGTCTAAAACGAACATAAAAAAGTATTGCAATCATCCTAAAGATTACTACAGTTTTGTAAGAGTTGTCAATCTGAGTTATATTTTGTACAGAAAAGTTGACCCCTGAGTATATTATCTGAGTAACTTTCTTACTATCTTTCTTGCCAGACAGGCCATGACATGACAATGTTTTGGGTAAGTCAATCAGGTTGAACGGCGCCTTTTCCAACGTGATTGGATGGACAAAAATAACACGCCAATTTAACACGACTGTGGCCAACGAAGGGTGATCGGCTAACACATGGCAAGTAATGTCAAGGCTGAGACTTTGGGTACGAGAATGAAGGCTAACTAGCTACTTAATCACTGAAAATTTTTACAAAAACATGCAGACAGGTCAGTTGAATTCAATATGAATATGCGAAACATATTAGCATTAACTAAAAGGTGTACTTATCCACAGGGTTCGCACTTCAGGTGTTTAGTCCGTGAGTAATAATAACAATGTGGGGGTTCTTATCACGATCACGGGATTTTCGTTTCAGTTCAGTGGTTGTTGACGAAGAGTAAAGATAGAGGACGTCTAGTAGACTAAAACCCTTTTTTCGACTGTGATGGGAGAATGATTCAATGAGTTTATTCGTATGGTATTCCTCGCTGAAGAAGGCATTCTACTCCATGTCGTCGTACCAGCCATCTTGTTCGTGACAAGTGTTTATTCAGGTATCAAAATGGTGTTATTWAAGCTTCTTTCCTTGCACTCTGTTCAATTATTCATCTCTGAATCACTAGCTTTATTCGAACATGTTTGAACAGATTTGARTTCCATGCTTAGAATGTAAAGAAGAAACCTAACTTCTAACCTTTTCAAACGACAAATTATATTAACGACGCAGATGAAATCGTTTTCCACAATCATTAATGATTATTTTACTCATTAAATGAGTACAGAAATTAAATCGTGGTACAAAACTATCGACACTACATGATCGCCAGTCATGAATATTAATTAACTTTTCTTTGAATAAGTTTCAGCACATTTATTGCTAACGATAGCAAGCAAGATTACTTACGTGACCGTTATAGTGAACATATTTCACTTTCTCCATAAAGAAACAGTGTTGTCTAATAGATTGTCTGGATATCTATATAGTATGCTTGTCAAGAAGGCTCTTAATATCGACGACTAATGCATATTTGTCGAAAAATGATAAATCTGTCCACATCCTAATATATACATTGAAAAAAGTGCATGATGATGGATGTTCTGCAATTCTTCGATTGCACGTTTAACATCATCGCGGCCATGTTGGTATCATTTAACAAAAGGTTTCTCATTAGCATCCATTGTTAACGGCACCACAATGACCGCCATGCTTTTGTCTTTTGACTCTCTTGGGAATGCTTGCAATCCATCAATAGGTATAAATAGACTTTTAGATGGTACCTTGTCAGTATCAGACCTTAATGAACTGACTTTATCTGTGAAGAATGCATTGAATCTGTCAGCAAGATTCTGTGGAGGGTCGTGAGTTGGAAGTATAGGTGTTTCTTTTACTTTGGACGGATTGTCAATTATTAGTTGGAAAAACTCCTTCTGGTTGGAGTTCGAAACCTTCTCGTCGTAGTAGGTTCTTTTTGCTCCTTTGATAGCTTCACATTATCTATTAGCGGATTACAAGAATGTATATTCTCTTGCGGATTACCACTGTTAATTCCGATCATTTCATTTATTTAACTACCATTGACCTGCTGTATTTATTCATTTATTTCCAGGAAGTGTCTGGCCCAGTGGATGGTATGGGTTACCTCAGCCTAAGACTGGCTGTCCGTCTAGTTCTGAGTGGGGTAGAGGCTGGTGGTACGAGGACAGAAGACTAAACTGCCAATCAACAGCAAGGGTGCCCCAATACTCTCATCTTATAGGAACCTTCAACCAGGCCATCACAAAGAGATATTTCTGTATCAAGAAGAAGGACAATGGACAGGACAACCCTTGGCCCAATGGTACAATAATAATACTAGTGTTGTTTGTATATCATAATTTTTATGAAGTATATTGTGGTTTTTAAAATCATACATCTCTTGTTTCACAGGCCAGTATTGTATCTATAAAGGGCTGTTGAGGACTTGTCCACCAGGGTTTGTTCAAGGTTCAATAGGATGGAAGAACAAAGATGCACCCAATGACAACCACCATTCTGGTATGGTACCGTCAGGTGTGTTCTCTACCAGCACTAGAATTAACTACTGCTGTAAAGTAGATGGGTCAAAAGAGAACAGCATTTCTTTACCAGTAAACAGACCGTTTCTTCTCTTGGCTTACAATTCAAGTGAATGTCAGTCTGTTAAGTGGGCAAGAACAACACAAGAATATCTACGATTTTCTGTTCAGGAGAAAATGACATTCCGAGGGTTTCATCCTTTTGTAGATGACAACTACGCTCTAAGATACTGCTACTATGAAAGTGAGTAGAAAACAGTGCTCCAGGTTGGTGTGTATTGGTTTGGCGTAGTGTAAGATGTGTTGGTTGTAGCAGTTGTGTGGTGTGATGTGGTGTGGTGTGGTGTGGTGTGGTGTGGTGTGGTGTGGTGTGGGGATGAAGTTAAGGTTATGTGTATAGTAACTCAAAGATACGAAGATATCACTGTTCTTGTTGTTTCAGACAGTAACAAGACTCTGACCGCAAGCCAAGGAACCATCTCACGATATCTGAACCAAACATCTGTCCACAAAGAACGACACACCGCATGGTGCATCAAACCTTATCCACCCCTTTCATTTCAATTCTTGTTTGTACGTTTCACTCGATTCACCTTTCATGCCAGTAACATCAACAACTACCTAGAGGTGTTGGATGGATGTAACGAGTCTGCTCCCTCGCTGGGGAGATTCTCTAGTACCCAGTCTCCTCTAGGTCGGAGTATTAAGTCATCAACCAATCAGGTCTTTGTTATTTTACAATTTGGTGACAGAAATGGGACGTACGATTTTGAGTTCGACTATCACATCATACCCAAGGGTATGTAAAGTAACTAATAATTAGATTATACAGCTCAATTATTTTCATCTCACGTCAAAATGGATATCCATTAAATTTGGTACTGAATTAGGCTTCTTCATTCATTCCAGTGACAACTGCTGCAACAACACTCCCGTTGACATCATCGTCACCTTATGCTTTACCATCTAGCATAACATCACAACCATATACGTCATCTGATAATGTGACGTCACCACCAACTACAACCCCGAAATATTTACGTTACCATGACAATAACGAGAAAAGAAAGTTAGTGTTGTCCATCACGCTGCCTATTGTAGGACTTGTTGTGGTCTTGTTGGTGTTGTCAGTGTGGTTAATAAGAGGAAGGCGAAGAAGGTAGGATAAGACATGGTGAGTCAGGAGGGGTGGGGGCAGGTAAAAATGTCCAGAATAATTCTTAACATCCCCCCTTAAAGTCATGCAAAAAATACGATCCCCCCTAAGCAAGCCTTGTAGCTTCTTCCAAAAATTGTGCATCCCCCCATTTTTCTGATAAAAATTTGCCCATCACCCTCCTTTTTCCTACCAAAATTTTCCCGATACCCCCTCGATTTCACCTGCCCCCCTGTCATACATTATGAACGCAGCCTTATTTTGTCTTGCACATATATACACACATGATATGTATAACCCAGCTAATAGTTAGCTCTTGTTCAGGAGGAGGTACTCAAGGATGGAGGTCAGTGTTTATGAGAGTGAACACGAGTTAGAAGAGTAAGTCCTTGACATCCGTACATCATGTACACAGAATCGAAATATGGCGAGTAATTTGAATAACTATTAATCTGCACTAACCGTAGTGGACTGACTAGCCTCTCATACGTGACAACGCTTTTATGTTTGCACGTGAACAAGAGGCTAGTCAGTCACCAGTCAGTGAAGAACAATAGTTATTCAAGTTAGTCGCCATATTTCGATTCGGCGTATATTATCTGACCATTTCATGACTCACTAACAACCGATCGACTTAATGACTTAATACTTAATAACTAATCGACAGATGATAGACAGAAGATAGACTTAACGACCAATCGACCTATAGACTTAACGACCAATCGACCTATAGACTTAACGACTGATCGACCTATAGACTTAACGACTGATCGACCTATAGACTTAACGACCAATCGACCTATAGACTTAACGACCAATCGACCTATAGACTTAACGACCAATCGACCTATAGACT